CAGGTAAATTACGGAAAGTAAAAAAACTGCCGGCGTAATGTTCCATGACCCACTACTCGTAAAGACGCAAAGCATCCCCATCATCAACATTATTGACAAAATACCGTACCACTCATTAATGAGCGTGTGCTGACCAGTAAAGATGAAGATAACACCCAGGGTTCCGCTGATAATTGCATCCACGAGTAAAAATTTCGTCTCTTTAGAGCGATGGAACATGGTAGACGCGATGGCCGCGCCCATTTGCAACACTCCACAGAAAAACTGATCACAGCTGAACGAGATCAGTGCCGCAAGAAGGTAAACCAAATTTGAGTAAATAAGGCTGTCGCACCACGAACGCCTAGCGTGGCGTGGGCGCACCTTGCGCCGCAGCCGCGATGGCTCAATAGGTGCTGATTTATGTAGCCCCAAGTTATTGCGTAGTCCAGCCCATTGTATTTGGAGTAGTTGTAGCTTAAGCGAGCACAAACACATGCTGTATTATAAGTGATGGGAAGAAATATTCGTCGCTTATGGCAATCGTCCTGCAAAACTGCGAGTCCGGTGGTGGCAGTCTTCTTGGGATTTGCCTGCCGCAGCAAAAATACTATAAATAGAGATACATCATTTTTCGCGGTAATTTTAAAATAGAATGCTAGGCGCAGCATAAAACTGACTAGTAGATTTCCGCAATGCCACTCTATACAAAAGTAAACTTTGACAAAATAAATCAATAAATAAATCTCCTGTCACCGACCAATTTAGTGTCGTCCTGAATATTTGCAATAATGATGACAAGTACAAATAAAATTTCGGTAATACCGGTTCCAGGTATTTCAAACTCTAAATCACCAATCTACCATCGATTCTGCTGTCGATGGCCATGTCCACCGCTGTTCAGAAGGGTTTTTCTGCGCTAAATCTTGACGCTCCTGTGGCCATCTCCGACGCATCTGCCGCACTGACTATCGACCAAAAGATCGCTAAACTTGCATCTATCACTGGCGCGCCGCTGTCTTCCGAGACCGAGGACCAATTGCGTGCGCTTTTCGCTGAGAAGGCTCATCCGATTGCTTACGATGGCGTTGAACCCTCGGGTCGCGTAACGCTAGCTTCTGGTTTGCTTCGTGCACTTAATGCCCAGCGTCTTATGGATGCTGGTTGCCATGTGCGTCTACTGGTGGCGGACACACACGCACTGCTCAATAACAAGTTTGGCGGTGACCTCAAAAAGTTGCAGACGATCAGTACCTATATGATGGAGGTGTGGAAATCACTAGGGCTCGATGCTCACAAACTGTCAAATCTCGAAATCTTGCTGGCTTCTACAGAAACCGCACGCCACGCAGGTGCATACTGGTCACAAGTGCTGGATGCCGCTGGCCAATTCACGGTTGAACGCGTCCAGCAATGCGCGCCTATTATGGGTCGAAAGACGGATGACGCCGTGCAAAATACAAACCGCATTTTGTACCCGCTTATGCAGCTCGCTGACGGGTTTCTTTTACAGGCCGACATCTACCAGCTTGGCGTTGACCAAGAGGCTGGCAATGAACTTGTGCGCGACTACATTGCACAGAAAGGTGGTTTAACCAAGCCTGTCTTTCTCACGCACCCGCTCCTGCTTGGCTTGAAGCAAGATCAATTTAAAATGTCTACTACAGACGCCGAGTCGGCTATCTATGTTGATGACACGGCTGCGGAAGTCAAGACGAAGATTAAAAAAGCTTACTGTGTACCTGGTGAGGTGAATGGAAACCCAGTTTTAAATCACATGAAGTATTTGGTGTTTCCACTCCAAGCTGAGGGTATCACACTCGAGCGCAGCGAAAAAAACGGCGGCGATCTTTTCTTTACCACCTATGACGAGCTTGAAAAGGCTTTTGTCGAAGAGATTGTTCACCCAGCCGATCTTAAGCCGTGTTTAACCAAGTACATTAATGCACTGCTTGAACCCGTGCGCCAACATTTTGCCAATGGTCCGCTTAAAACGATGTTTTCGAGCATCAAGAAACTTAAAGTGTCTCCAATCCCAGATAGTGACAAACTGGCCAATCTGACTTTGCTTGGATTTCCCGAGACTGTGAAGGAATGGAAGCCTTCTTCGCTGTCATTGGAAGAGCGTTACACTGTGGCTCGCTCTGTCGGTGAGGAGTGTATTCAGGAGAGCGAGCTCCAAGACTTACTGGAGAGAAAGGCGAATCCTGTATGCTACGATGGGTTTGAGCCTTCGGGACGTATGCATATCGCTCAGGGTGTTCTTCGCACAGTGAACGTCAATAAACTTACATCGACTGGCAGCGTTTTCCGTTTTTGGGTGGCTGACTGGTTTGCAATGCTGAATAATAAAATGGGTGGCGACTTGGACAAGATCCGCCTCGTGGGCCGGTACATGGTCGAAATCTGGGAATCAGTCGGTATGGACATGACTAATGTCGAATTCTTATGGGCATCACAGGAGATCATTGCGCACAGCGCTTCTTACTGGCTCCGTGTGATGGACATCGCCCGTCGTACGACAATTGCGCGTACACTAAAGTGCTGCACGATCATGGGCCGCAAAGAAAAGGAAGGCATGCAGGCTGCGCAAATTCTTTATCCGCTGATGCAGTGCGCTGATATCTTCAATTTAAAGGCAGATATCTGCCAGCTCGGTATTGACCAGCGTAAAATCAACATGCTTGCACGCGACTACTGTGAGCAGGCCAAAATTCGCTTTAAACCTGTCATTCTGAGCCACCACATGCTCATGGGTTTAAAGGAGGGTCAAGAAAAGATGTCGAAGAGTGACCCAGAGTCGGCCATCTTTATGGAAGATGCTATCGACGACGTGAGCCGCAAGATTGATAAAGCTTTCTGTCCGGAAGGCGTCGTGGAGGCGAATCCTATCCTCGATTACATGAAGCACATCATTTGCCCGCGCTTCGCCGATGGAGGCGTGACCGTGAAGCTTGCAGACGGTTCTACAAAGACATTCACTGCCTACCAGGAGCTTGAAGACGCTTTCGTCGCGCGCCAGGTAATTGGGGCCGATCTGAAAAAGGCTCTGACCGAGTATCTGAACGAGTACGTACCAAATTATCAATCAGACTGTCCTCGTTTATCTTACTCTTCCTTCTCAATTAGAATTTTGGCACCAGTGCGCGAGCATTTCTCTAAAGGTGAGGCCAAGGACTTACTTGCGAAGGTGCGTTCGTTTCGAATTACGAGATAAAGACATCGTAGAATCACATCGACTTGATACGTAAATGAACAAGTTGCGTTATCTTTACGATTATAAAAAAAATAAAGCCAGACATAACATTCAGTCTTCTTCATTTCCAGCGCCGCTACGATGGATGCAGTATGTGACAGGCACCTTCTCCCCAAGTCACGCGCCGAAAGTGGCATTGCAGGCATCGAACACACTGCTGCTGGCAATGAAGAGTGTGATAAGTTCGGAGACAGAACAAGCTACAGAAGGGGCCACAACGAGCAAACTGTCACACCTTATGCTGGCGATAAGAATAATCGCATTCGGCTGCTTGACGTAGCGTCGCTATGCGTAGAAGGGTCACAAGGACACACGAATGAGGACCGCTGCGTATTCGCCAGCAATGACCGGTTCCACCTTTTCGCTGTCATGGACGGTCATGGCGGGTCATTGGCTGGTGACTTTTTGGTGGAAGAGCTATTGAAGACGTTAGATGAAGTTTATGACGATGGCTTTGACGACGTGAAGCTTACAGATGCAATGGAAGAGCTTGATCGTGCATTTTGCGCGATGGCTTCGCAGAAAATAGACACAAGTGGCGCATGCCTTCTGGTAGTCTTGCTATTCGTAGACTCGATCACAAACATACCACAGAAGCTCATCTTAAATATCGGTGACTGTCGCGCTATTATACACGAGCAGCCAGAAAAGGTGGCAAAGCAGGATGATACAGATGATGCGCAAGTATATACGAAGGGAAACACCTTTGCTCTCTCAGAAGATCATTGTGCAAACAATGCGAAGGAGAGAATGCGGGCATTGAGTAGTGGAGCAGATATCCAGAACAAACGCATTGCTGGTGTCCTAGAGCCTTTTAGGACAATTGGGGATATTGACATGAAGGGTCAGTTCATGAAGAACTGGGTAATTGCCACACCCGAAATCCATCGAAGCGAGCTGCTCGTTGGTCGTAGCACTTTTGTCATTGCCACGGACGGCGTCTGGGCAGTATTGAATAACGACTGCACAATGGCGCTGGCGCTCAGGAAGCACGACGATGATGAGATGAAATGGTCGGCCAAATCATCAGCACAAGCCATCATTAAGAAAGCCCGAGAGCTTGGCAGCTGTGACGATATCACAGTCATCATCGTATCTGTGTAGGATGGCAGTGATTAAAGAAATATGAATTCCTTACAGTGATCTGCCTGCCCACTTGAAAGCTGTGCTTCGCTTTCTTCTTACCAATTTCACTGCGCTTTATTGACGACTTCTATTGACAAGGAGAAAGGCGTTCACGTCTGCCTAGCCAACCTCCATCTTTGCACAGTTTCCATTGTCTATTTCATTTGTTGCGCACGACTGATGAATGCGCCTGATCTCATAAATATGCACGCTTCTCATCTTGCAATTTACGCGTGCTCTCTCTAGACTAAGGCTCAAGATAATTATACTCTGTCATCGCGTGGATGCAGGCGCAGTTCTATTTTGTCTTAGAGGGAAATCTTCTACATATCAAATTTTATATATCCAGAACTGTGGTGATTTTGCTTTTTTGGAATAAAAAAAGCAAATTTGGTGCTCCAGAATTGCAATCAATACAATGGAGAATTTGGCCTATAAGTCCTCAACTACTTGGAAATTAATTTTTTGATAGTTTTCTGTAATGTAATATATTTGTATGTTTTCAATATCTGACTTGAGCATCAAATCGATGTCAAGTCTCTTACAATACTCGGATAGAAGACCCACCTTTTGTAGTATGAAGCGTAATGGGGTACATTTTGTATTATTGTTGACGTAATGTGCATGACACATATGACACTTTTGTGCACGTCAGAGGTACCAGATAGCTGGTATAGATGTAAACCTGCATTTGAAAAATGAAACAGAATACTATATTGCAGCGGGGCTCCCGTAGCAAATCGCTTGAGGAAGCGTACTTTGGATCACCGATCTTTCGTTCTTTACAAGAACCAAGTATGAGTTAGCGGATCGCAAACCGCTTACTCCAAGAGTGATTATTGCCTTCCCAAGGCTAATCGACTTCGGTATAAATTCCAAACTGATTTTTGTTTATCTTTTTATCCTGATTTTAAAAGTTTAAATTTTCCTAAATATACTAAATGTATATAGTAAAATCTAAATACATGCATAAGTCTTCTTTGGGCGTGTGGTCACATTCTGCACATCTCGTGTGACACACACACCTGATATTAGGGTTCGTGTAACCCCGTTACACATATTGGATCTGTTTCGATTTCTCATATTGTACATTTGTACAAAATCTTCATAATACTAATTGATATTGTGAGCTATTGTAACGGGATAACACGTACCCAGGTATGAAGGGGTGTGGCTACACTTTAAGAGATGTCAGTACTTGTACATTTTAATTATGTTTTACTATTCAACTATAATACCTATAAATTTAGATATAAGCGGCTCTGCCGCAGAAAAACATAAAATATAGAGTTTTATTTTTGAACGGAAGAGTTGATCAGCCATGGCTTAAGGTTATGGATACTCTTGGAGTATATGGATTCCGATCCGCTATACTTATACTGGTTCTTAATATAGAACGAAGGAAATCAACCTTAACCAAGCTTCCTTTAAGCGAAGAGCTATGACAACCCCGCTGCACTTGGTAACACTTGCATTCAGTCTACACTTCAGTCGTTACGACTGATCCTCTGTGAAGCTGAAACAATTCTCCTATTTGCCCCAGGGTATGCAAGACGAGCTTAAAAAGCTGATGTCTCTGCTTGGCCCTGTGGGCGCTCAACACCTCGCTTCACTAGGACTTGAAGCGATCAGCGCGCGCACAGAGGCATTTTCATGCTATAAAATTGCTCTGTTAGAGCACCTACAGCTGAAGATGTCGGCGTCGACTGCGTCCATGATGCCCCCGTCGACAACGGATGACTCCCCGCGACCCAGGCCGCTCATGGTGAGCGGTAGGACCTTCGAGGGTAAGTATGGGGCGATTTTTCCGTTCTGGGTAAGACAGGCCGCGATAACTATGGCATCTGCCATGCTCCAGAACGAGCAACAGCCCGTGGTGCCAGCTATCTTCAAGCTCGGTGTCGAGCACGAGAACGTACACTGACGTGCGGCACTTCGGTTAAGCGGCGGATATTACCCTCCTGGGCAGAGCTGAAGCTACAGCTTTCACGAGTGTTCTCGCCGCTTAAATAGCCCTATCGCATGCGATCTCGTTTCCTTGCCGCCCGACAGGGCAAGAAGGAATTGGTGGACTTTGTCAAAGGGTTGCATACTCTCTTTGCTTGTATGGCAGATGACCCTCTCCCTGGGGCGGTCACAGTGATTATCTTTATGTAGGGTCTCCGCACTGGCGTGGCCAGAATGGAAGTTTTCCGCGTGCATCCATCTTCTTTTTAAATAAGCGATGAATGTGGCATTGAATGCCGAATACAAAAATCAAGTCGGCACGACTTGGTTGGGATGCACACTCTAGCCGCTCGTCAAGCGGGCCTGAGCCGATGGATCTCAGCTATGCTGAGAAAGAGAATACAGAGCTCCAAGCTGCCGGGTAGCGTTCGAAAACCAAACGGTGCTTTGTCTGTGGGGATAGCCGTCACCTTCGGATTGGTTGTGCCCTGCGCAAGGCGCAAGGTTCTTGAGCCGATACCCGCTTCTCACCAATCTTCTGGATTGTCGCGAGGAGACGGCGACACCCAGTAGCCGCCCTGCGCCTACTGGGGTAGAAATGTGTTCTGTTGAGCTTCAATGAGGTAGTGGTCAGCAGAACCCAGCCCTGAAGAGCTCTGTGCTCTTGAACACGGAACATGTATTCAAGCTGAGCTTGCTGGTTGTGGAAGCGACCGTGAAGGGCTTTAAGAAATCCTGATCGACTCCGAGGCGTCGGGCAATTATGATTGACGCTCCACGATGGAATGAAGACAGTTGTATGCCGAGGCGCAAGAAGCGCGGTTGAGTGACTTCGTCACGGTTCGCTTAGCGACGGGGGCATGTGTCATGGTGCCGAGGATACCTGTGGACCACGATGTCATGTTTCTTGACTTTGATAGCGTGGAACGCTGCTTAGGCTTAGACTTGGATTCAAGGTCTGACCCCATCCTTGGTATGGCATAGTTGAAACACCATGAGCTATTGGTCGATTGAATGTCGAAGACCTTGAGCGTTACGCGCACGTCTCCTGGTGGGGCTTTGGTGAGTCATGAACCCACCTCTGCTAGGAACCAGACGCGCTATTGGCGCGGGCACTGGATCGGGACGGTCAACGTGCTGGATATCGGAGTATTCGTGCTGATGAACAACGAAGGTGTATTGGACTGAACTATCGAGCATGGCTCGCGGGCTGAACGTGGAAAGGCGCGTAACCTACCGAGCACTGCTCAAGTATCGTAGCAGTTGCTGCATGCCATGCATGGCATTGTCGACCGAGGGCCGAGGCATCGCGGGCGAGGCCACAGTGATGCATCTGGAGTGGCGCGTTACCCACTGAGCGCTGCTCAAGTATCGTAGCAGTCGCTGCGTGCCATGCGTAGCATGGTTGAACGAGGTCCGAGGCATCGAGGGCGAGGCCCCAGAGATGCACGTGGAGTGGCACGTAACCCACTGATGACTGTTCACGTATTGAAGCTGTCGCTGCATGCCACAAATGGCATGGTTGGACGAGGTCCGAGGCATCTTGGGCATGGCCCTTCAGATGCGAGTGTAGCAGCACGTTATCCATTTGACGAAGACTGGGGAACTATCAGCTATTCGTCGGACGTTGTTAATATTATCAAGGATCCGGTGGAGCAGGAAGTGGGGTTAACACTGGACGGCGGCCAGTGCGTGTTCCCACTGGTCTCATCGAGACGTAAAACCTCTGTGGAGAGGCAAAGTCTACGCCGTATGTTATCCGCACGACCGCCGGGCGTCGATCCTTACAAAGAGTGTGTCTACCCTAGACGATAGTGCACAGCTATACGCCCTCGTCAACGGTATGACGGGTAAAGGAAGACGACGGTGTCACCCTTGCGGCTTTTCCTGCAGTGGATGCTCTTCATGAGCTGAGATGTCCTTCGAACGGTTCGGCGGTGCCTTGAAGGCAAGCGACTTAGGCGAAGTGGTCATATACGACCGGAAGAGAAGGTGAACTCGTCGTCGCCTTTGGGTGAAGCTGTCCTGGAGGACACCAAGAGGGTGCTGAACGTATAAAGTGGATCTCTGATCCCGAAGAATCCCTCGGATCCGTACTATCCTTTGGTGAACAAGTTTCATGACGTCGTCTCCAAAGACCCGCCGTCGGTCCTACATCTGGACCGAGGTGTCAACATGAGATCGACCTGATTCCGGGAACCAAATACTGTGAACATGCCAATGATCTCAGCCCAAGGAGCAGTGAGACGTCATTGTCGCCTTCTTCCGTGCGAAGCACGACTCATTTCGCGGCGTGCCGGACATCATCGACGGTGTCGGTACAGCGACGCTTTTGTGGATCGTTACTTTAGACAACATGGACACCCGGAGCCAGTTGCCTTTGATATACCTCTACACATCATTGAAAAGTTTTGGTCGACAATCGTCAGGGTGCTGGGCATCAAGTTGACTATGTCAACAGCAAACCATCCGCAGATCGATGGTCATACTTTGCGCGTGGACCGCGTCGGTGAAGATGTCCCTCGCAGCGTCTGCGCTGAGACGCCTAGGCGCTGGAACGCCATGCAGCCACATGTGGAGTTCGCTTTGAACGATATAGTGCATTCATTTACCGGCTACACGCCGTTCTACGTGAATGGGCAGGTCAATCCTCGCGTCCCATTGACGCCGCCATCCCATGGGCCAGGGCCTGGTGGGGGAAGGATAGCCAAACGGCTATCTGATGACATCTCTCTCACTTTTCGTATGGAAGTCGATGACTTCCTGTCTACCAGGCTGAGTGTCCTACGACACGTTCGCGATGCGATGGCTGAAAGCCAAGACATGGAGAAAGTATATGCGGATGGAAGTAGCAGAAGAGATGCTGAAAATTTTGAGGTCGAAGACCTGGTTTTATTTAATGCTAGAAACTTACCTACACATACAGTCTCTGCTATCTTTAAGATAAAGCTCCGTCCACGGTTTATTGCAACTTTTAAGGTCACGACCAAGCGAGACCTTGCGAATTGCTGAACCTTCTGAGCAGCTTTCACACCCCTCCGGTGTTTTATGTGGGCTTGCTTAAGCCGTACCGGGACCTGGCGCAAGTGAATGCGGAAGCGTTGGCGTTGGGGCGGCTCCGAAGGCGCTCGACCACCCAGAAACTAACCCAGCAGCCGATTTTGATCATGGAGCGCAGCAAATTTTCAACGGCGCAAGGCACTCCACCGTCGCACGAAGTGACGTCTGCTCGACGGGTATGGGCCGCTCCAACAGAGCGCGATAAATCTCAACGCGAGGCAGTCGGTGCACAAAGTGCTCCAGACTCTCGAGGGCTTCCGCACAGCGGCAGGCGACCTTGGAAAGATGCTGGGCGGAATGTCGATGACGACGGACTTTGTCCTCTAAAGCTTGAAGAGCATTGCGAGTTACCGGATGGCGATCGACTGAGTTGTCATCGCCCGCCGCCCACTCGTCTCTTTGAGAATGGTGGTGTTTACTATCACGTGAAACGCTTTGTAAGTCAATATTGGCGACAGGGTCAAATCCAAAATCTTGTGAAGTGGTGGGGATATCCAAACTCCGAGACTTGTGGGATTTTGAGGTACCACTTCGGCAAGATAGCCCAGACGTCATAGACGCTTATGATGAGAAGGATCATGACGATCCGCGTCATCGTGCGGCCAGCGCTTCTCGTCAGTAGCCCGGGAAGCCAAAGGACCATGAGCTGAGCTTTAGCTATGGCCCTGAGCTGATGTGGTCGTAGACTCACCCATGTGAGAAATCACAGAGCTCGCGGGAGCGTGATGGATTACATGTGTACTGACTTCTCTTTAAGTGGAGCCACACCATTGTGTGGTCACATCATTTTGTATTATCCACACCTCGCCGATACAGAAGGGTCTTTTCATCATTACCGATACCATGTACAGATTTTCACAATTTCCCGAAAGTGAAATTAAATTTCGAAGCATGATGAGATTGCTCGATTGTACGGGAGGGAAACATGTGCGTACATCGTTGTAGAGCACGCAACCCGTCACACGTTCTACAGAGGAATCTGCGTTCTCGCAAATTTATGTCATTGAGCGCAGGAAGCAGAAATTAAATCATAATTTTTTAAATTTCTAGACACCGTTTCAGTATTAAGATGTATCAAACTGCCAACTCATCTACATTCAAAATTTTGAGCAACTTGATGTCCTACATTGTTGCGAGCTCGCTTTCGCTGGGCCACTTTTTTCCTGCTGGTAGCCTTGATAGCCTCTCTTGATACTGCTTCTGCTTCTTCAGAATCTTGTTCATCTGGCGCAGTGTGTTGGGTCACCGTCGTAGCTTTTATATCGATTGTGGCTGCGGCAAGGGGCAGACTATCGTCATAGCCCCCACGGTCGTAAATTTTATACTTGTTTTTTTCCGTCACGCTGCTGAGCTGCAGTGATTGATGATAGCGATTATGTAAAATTCTTCTGTCGTCGCCTCCGCGCGCTGTCCAACGACGACTTGAAGACATGTCTGTAACCTGCGAAGCACTCGAAGTCACAACCAGAACAAACAAAAGTATCTTTGCTTTGAAGCAACCGCACTTACTGGAGACATGTTGATGTCAGGAAGACTGCGACCACCATCAATCTGCGTGATATTTTTTTGTTAGCAAGTAAATAAACTCAAAGTCTAATGGTGAGAGACGCACGGTGTCCAGTATTACAGTTGCTCGATTTTGGCAAAGTTGTAGGACTGCTGTGATTGCTGAAGTTTCGAGTCTCTCAATACCAAAGGTTATATTTTTGTTGCCATTATAACCTATGGGTGGTGGCCAAAGTCGTGAAGTTGAAATGGCATTTTGGAGTGAATTGTTGCAGTTTGTTAGATCCATAAGTTTAACGATTCTGGCAACTCCAGTATAAACCTCTTTGGAGTTTGAAAGAAGATTGGTATGTGCGGAGTCTGTTCGCGCAAGCTCTACGATAGCAGCGCGTAACCTCTGTTCAAGTTTCCGGGGATCCTCCGATGGAGCTGTAGCCTGTGAGAGCTCCAGAGTGCGCAGCTGCTCTTTTAACTCAATTTCTCGAAATTTAATCTGTTTCAGGCGAGCTTCATAAAGATTAGCTTGCTCTTCCAAGCTTGCGTTGAGCTCCTCACGTTGCGTGAATTTCTGTAAGAGTATTTCCATCTTCAAGATACCCGTCGCTTCCTGAATCCTCTCGCAAGCAACCTCCGTCTGCTGATGTGCAATTTGGGTCGCAAGTAAGCGAGCAGGTGCACTGATAGCTTGTTGGGTATGCTCATCCCCTTCCTCCATTGTGTACTTATAATCCTCGCCATTTCTTTTTTGAACACTGTTAAACATCTCCAACTGTCGCTGATACAGCTTGGCAGACGACTCTTGATCGTGTGCAGCTCTTTTGCTGGCATGCTCAAGCTTATCCACTACAGCAGAGATGAGCTGCTTACTCTTAATCACTGCTTCTCGCAAACTGGAAAGTTTATCATTTCGTAAGTGAAGTTTCTTCGTTTGAAGCGCTTTTTTTTCATTATATTGGTCTCTGAGCTTTAGTTGTATCAAACGTAGCTGTTTTTTGTTCGCTTCAAAGTGCGTAGGAGCACAAGTGGGAAACATTTCACACCCTCGAATAAGTTTGCGATGCCGTTTCTCCTGGTGATCAACAGCCTTCACTAATCGTCTTAACTTTACTAGACGAGAATTCATTTCTTCCACAGCGTGCTGTGTCATAGCATATTCGCGCGTTGCCACTTCATAACGCTGTAAAGTTTCACTATTTCTTTGTATGATATTATGCAGGTGCTTTTCCTTCCGCGCAACGTCGGATCGTGCTGCCTCGTATATTCCTTGAAGCCTCGTTATTACGCAGTAATTGTGGGACTGCTCTGTTTCCCAGTCTATCTGTGAGAAGTCTTTTGAAGACGAGGGAAAACAGAAGGATGTTGTCCGCAAATCTTCAGTTTTGAATCTCTCTTTGAATTCAATTCCATTTGTTTGTAGTTCATTGGCCGGCATGGTGGGAACTGATGCAGCAATAGATCGATGTGCTGCTGGTGTCTTCGAGAGAAAATGACTCGTTTGCCCCCTACTTTCATGTTTGTCAAAGCTGTCTGATGATAAAAACGCTTTTTGAACCGATATATGATGTTTACTTAACGTTGGTAAAGAAGCTGAAAATTTTAAAGCAGCACTAGGAAAATGGTTGACCGAGGACATGTAAAGGCTTTTCACTGTATGCGCAATATTCTTTGCTTTATAATCTCCAAGAGTTCTGATTTCGAACGTTTTATTGACAGGCGATAATAACGCTGACGCCTGCAAGCCAGTTTTAATTGACACCGGCCGACATTTCGCCACACCTTTAGACCTCTGCGTAGCAGGAGGGTCAATTATACTCGTTTTGCCAGCCGTAGAGCAAGCTTCAAAACATTCCGTTTGCAATATTTTTTTTGACGAACCCTGTGCCATGCCGTTGTTCACAACTGCACCACTACAACCGTGACATTTTGCTTCGTCGATCATATTTGGATCGGATGATCCGTGCGACAATGTAAAAGGAGGTAATTTTTTTGATAAACTAGCCTGCATTAGATCAGTATTGTTGTCGCAATCACTACTGCTGGTTGCCATTTCGGAAAAAGAACTCTGTGCAGACCCATCTCGAATATTCAAGTCACAACCAAGCGCGAGCCACGGAAATTGAATCCAAATCCACCGATAGTAAAAATAAAAACGACAACTTTCATTTAAGTCGTCATCCTCGAAGGACGATCTCGTAATTTCAGTACTTGTGGTGTGGACTTGTGGTGGAAATTTGTCCAACGCTGCAACTAACGCAGATGAAGTAGTCAGCGTACTCTTCATTGCTGACAAGCCTCCTAATGGCGAGACACCCGTGAAAGGTAACGCGAACGCAGAATCCTCAGCTATGCTACTGATTGTTAAAACGTGGGGCAAATTTTTTACAAATAAAAAACCATCCATGTGAAGTTCCTTCAGGCCAAGAGGAGCGTGAACAAATTGAGGCAACGGACGCTGACATGAAAGGCAAAAGTCGTACATAAAGTGCGTGACGAGCTGCACGATTGACGTGAAAGTTTTCGTCGTTGGATGAGCCTTTTGATACCAATTGTCGACACTTCTTCCATATTCTTTCACTACATCGAAGGGCATCACGCACGCGGGTGAATCAGACATATTGGAAGTTGTACTGTGATTAAGCAAGGAACCATCAGTGAGCAGATTCCAGTAATTAAAAAGTTCGGCCTTGTAGCTAGTTGTGTACAGTAGCTGAAACATTGGTAAATTGGTCAATATTTGGCGCAACGCATCCCATTGGTAGCAACGCTTGAAATGCCAAGGCAGTTCCTCAACTCGACGGCAAGTGGTGGGGTGAAAACGAAAAAATCGAATCAACCAATGGTGATACTGTTGCTCAGTTTGTTCATTGCCAATATACCGCCACCAAATGACATCGCGTAAAACGTCATTGCACAAAGGTATCAACACAACACCTCGAACGAAAAGCACACTTAGTGATCGCAAGACCCGTAGGAGGGCTTGCCATTGCTCCTCAGAAAAGGCTGTAAGCTTATCCTGTCGTGCAAATACCCCATGGCCATCCAAAGCTTTATCATTTCCGTCATGTTCTCTAGAGCGATGTTCACCTTGCGCCTCAGCTACGACTGTGTTCAATATAAAACGCAGTTCATTTAGCAATAAACCATGACGACTGGTGTACAATAAGCCTAACGATCGACCTAGCAACTCTCTCAGCGGAGCAACACTACGTCCACCTATCAAATAATCTAGTCGGTTGTCAATGTGACTGGTCTCACTTTTTCCCATACTTACCTCTGTTGAACAGCGTCTTAGCTTGTGGCCTGGGACTATTAACGAAGAAGGAGAGTCAAAAATCTGGCTGGATAAATCAAGTTTAGAGAATATTTTAAATTCGTTTTGCTGTGATGCCACAGATGTAAACTCAGCTCCGTCAGTTCGTAAAGTGTTGACAGATAGATTGTTAGCTTCATAAATGCTGTTGGCGCTTTCTAGTTTGGTCGGTCCTGAGTTCAAAGTGTTAAATTTCCAACAATCAACGGTGTTTAACACGTTAGCTGCCCTGGAATCTGTAACGTCGCTGGCACCAATCGTCATTGTACAACTGTTTGAGCGCAGACTTCGCTTCAAGTTTGCAAGATCAGCTGAGTTACTTGCGTGTTCCAATGCGGAGTTTGTCACAACTAAATCTTTTTCATCGTTGCTGCCAAACTTGAGCAAAAATGTCATGGCATTCGATGTTGCGAGTTGATCAGGAATATAGCCAGTCTCCATACTCAACAGGACAAGTTCCAGCAACTGAGTCGCATTGTGTGCGTGTAACCAGCTTTCGAATACAGTATGTATATTAAATCCTTCCTTCACAGCCCACAACAAACACACAAGAAAAATTTTCAAAAAATGCGGACTGGCGCTCGCAGGTACGCCGATGATGGCACGTTGCTGTACGTCATAAAGTTGCAGGCTTATCGTCTCTCGTACACCAGTGCCTTGATCATTAACTTTTGATAAAAATAATTTCAATATGCGCTTGCGGTCCTCCTCAACCAGATGAAACAAGTGAATAAGCTTCCAGTTCCGACGAGCGGCCTCTGTTCTTATTCGTTCGATTACCTGAGATCGAAGACTTTTTCTATCGCAGTAACTCTTTCCGCTAACTTTCTGAGTACCACCACCTTCATTGTCACGGGCTTGAGTTTTGGCTATTCGACTGCTCCCAGGTATATCTTGGAACATGTCAGCTGTCGGGCTATTCAGAGTCCCAGTAAAGATAAGACGAATGTTTGGTGGAATTGAAAGCGGAATCCACTTCATAATATTGTCACCATTTTGCGTACGCAATCTTTGAAGTCCGTCAACCACGATTATGGTGCGACCTTTTTTAGATGCAGCCTCCAAGAAACGAGGAAGCTGCCAAATATGTCGTTCTGATACATCAGGAATTTCATTGGTAAGCTCAAAATGCTCCTTGATTTCACGCAGTATACGCTCAAGTAAGTTGGATACAAGACAAGAATTCCGCGAACTTCCCACTACATGCGAAAATATAAACTCAGGGTAGGGGGTCTGCCAACTAATAAATAATTTCCTACGGCGTTCAAGCCAATTAGCCAAGAAAGTGCTCTTTCCTATACCGCTTTCTCCTAGCAAGATGATCGGTCTTCTATGCTTGTGCATGGTATCCACATCGCAGAAATCGTCCAATTCGCGTATTAGACGTTGGTCTTCAAGGTAAACAAATTCTCCTTTATTCTGGCGCAGGCGCATAAACTCATGATGAAAGGCACTATCTAAGTATGATACTGAGTCCCAACACTCTTTATTGGAGGATTGTGTTTGTCCAACTCTATAGGATCCATTACTCGCGGCGTTCCCTCGATTCATCTTGCATCTCGAATGTGTGTTTCAACTATTTGAGACGGTTACAGGTTCAGCTTCTATCACAGATTTAGATATAAAGATTGAGGTAAATTCCACTTAATCTAGGAAATCACTCTATCTTAAAGTCAGCAATACTTACACGACCAAAAGTGATTAATAGCCTTGCGTTGATGGGACAAGCTCTCATAAATGATTGAGTTCTGATCGTTTACAATCAGTCAATGGAATAGCTACAACCTCATCAGAGCTCAAGCGCACTGGTCTGCGTTTATGTCTCATTTGTTCTCATGAAACTTTATGACGGCTTTATCATGAATTTCCTACGGCTCAACTTGTTGATTCGTTTTTAATTTGCGAGATACTTGTGCACTGTTGTAACTGCATGTGTTGAAAGAATGCCAAGTACTCCATACATATCATCACCACCTAAGTAAAGGCAAGAACGCTTGTCAGAAAATACATCAGCTGGCTCTTAAAGGGGTTGTCGGCAGAAATGTATTCTGTACACCATACGAAGATTTATGGTGTACAATCTACCATGGTGTACAATCCACCGTGGTGTACACCTGAACTATACCATGGTACCATCGTACCATCATACCACAGTACATAGTACATAGTACATAGTACATATATACATAGTACAGTATTGAAGAATAACCAAAAAATGAGTGTAAAATCTCATGACAAGCAAATTATCGTTATCGAATATGATGGGACACCGTAAAGAAGGTGTTTGTGGTGGTTTGGCAGCGTACGTCAAGCAATAACGGGTGAAACAATGTATATTGAGCATTTTTCCTATACACTAAGTCCTAAATTTCTGTCAATTATGAAATAGCAGAGTAAAATGGGAAACCAGTTACTCCAAATGCTCTCAATTCCAATCCGAGGTGGAGGTACGAACCAAAATCTGTGCGTTTGTGAACCAAACTCTTTGTCTCAAAGCTGCATCTGTCAAAAGTGCACGGCAATTGTAGTTAAATTTCACGACGGCCTTTGGGGGATGGAACATAAAATGTTCGGAATACAGTTCCTGGGACAAGATGACCCGCATATTATTATTCCGATTAAATTGAGGAGCTGGTTGCTATAGAGTCGGATTCAGTAATGGCACGCCTAGAGGCGTTCACCACCTATGTATTTGCGCGTGTGGAGAATCTTCAAAGTATCTTAAATTGACTCCCATGCGAGCACAAATGGTACCGGCGTTGAGGCCGCTATGTTGAGCGCCGCCCAGCCCTTCGGTGATCGGGATGAAGAAAATTCTCTCTTAAAGAATAAAATAGATGAGTTGGTCATGATTTGACTACGCTCGAAACAAAGCGGCATATACCGGTGGTTGGCTGTCCTTATCAGGAGTATAGTGTGGGTTCCAATGCACCCGTCAAGGCAGGCGGAGTATGTCTTGGAATTTCCGCGAGGTGTCTAATCTCTCTCGGAGTCGGTAACTGTTACAATATCAAAAAAGTTGTTCTGGCTCGCACCGAGACCTTCCAGTTTACCTTACCTCTTTCAAGGAAACACTGGGCGTCCCATTTATAGGGAAATTACAGTTAACGTGCTGCGAATATAAGATGGGGTACTAAACGTGGAAGAACTTTGGGCGTATCACACCTCAGTCATAGTAAGGAGAAGGAAAGTACTCTTACGACCACCCGGTACTTTCGTAATACTCAGATATGTTTTATCTGTGGTAGTCGAAATGTCCGCTCACTGACGCTCTCTTCGCTCTCGCCTGAATCGTACCCAGGGATGAGCTGGGCTTATGCGCAAGGTTGTCCGGCAAAAAAGAACTTGCGAGATATTGTCGAGTCATAGTCGTTCTATTGTGGCCTACTGGAGAAACCTGGTTTTTATTGTACCTCATGAAAGTATTGGTCAATGAAAATCAGTACTAAAATGTGACTCTCTTTACGAGGTCATGCTCACAGCACATGGTTGTTGATTGTTAATAGTAAACCCCAATTTTTGTGAAGCTATGAAAAGTCCAGATTTGTTTAAAAGGGTCGTGCAAATTTATACGATGCACAACTGTCATAAGTAGTATACAGGACGCGGAGGCATTATAAATACTAAATTGCGGTCGCGATGTCCGTGCGGTGGCACTGTTGAAGTATCGAAGGCTTTGGCAAATCTTCATATGAAGCTTAAAAACGTTGACAGCTTATGATGTTGTCTCTGGATTCGATGTATAGTTTGCCCTAGGTATAGCATGACCGGAGCGCCACAAGCCATGGATCGACTGGAAGTCGAAAACGTTGGAGCCACACATTTCTCACATGACGACGCTTCGGCGAGTTCTAAACCCACCTCTGCCAGAAAGCAGATAATCTGTCGGCTCGGATACAAAGCTGCCTCAGCTTCCATGAAGGTCATTAACTTGTCCGAAAATTACAGCCAACATATTACTTGGTATCTTGAGCAGCTCTCGGAAAGCTGAAGTGGCAACGATCCGCGGTCTCAGGATGGGAGCGGAGCGAACGACTATATGTCGTGGCACGCGAGTATATCTCCGGTGAGGCGGTAACGAACACCTGAAATTAGATGACCCTTGTGCTAATGGCGAAGTAAAGTGGAAGCCGCTGAGTGTCGCAGTTTTTCGTGTCTGATTCGGCGGGGTGAATGTTCTCTGGAAGTCGATAAAGAAAGGCCAGGCCTGAAGTGACTAAGGATGACACATCATGAAGTGATATACTGTTGAGCCATTCCAACCGCGTGACGGGTCCATCGTGCGGAGCAGTGAAGCTCCAAGAGTGACTGTCGATAGGGAATATTCCCTCGTCGACATTGAATTTGTAAGTTCTTTCTCGAATTACCTCCGGCAGAAGATCTTTTAAATTGTAGGAGAATCTTTGGGAGATATGCACAAGGAATTGCGAGACGGTGAAAGCACTGAAATTTTAAGGTTGGTTCCAGAGGATTAATTGAAACGTTATCTATCACGAATGAAATCGCCATTGCAGATACACACAGAGCACTAGGCGCGAGATATGAAAACTATCCTCCAGGAACCAGCGGGTTTCGTTTAATATTTGCTGAATGCATAACGAAGAGAGTCCCATCATGCGTGTTTTTAGTTCAAAAGGTCGTCTAGGGAGTAACTTGGAACAAAATGTTGTCTTACATGCCGATGATCCTAGCCAGATAAGTGTGATATGCTATTGATACTTGCTTTGCGCGAATCACGAAACCGGTTTGATGAGAAGCAAAAATTTCAAATTGGCACTGATCTCTTTGTCAGATAGACTACAGCAGATAGCAATTGAAATGATGGCCTCATCACATTTAAGTCTCGCCAGCCCAAAACAGCATATTAGACGTACCCAGTCCATGGAGAGGAATACCCGCAGTGAATTACCCTCTTCATATTCTAAGCACATTTGTTCGGCTCTTGGTCGAGTGAAATCGATACAGATCATTCATCACTACGCACAGCAACCTTGTATTAATGATCATCACAGATATGGCAGGTCGCCTTTTTCTTTGCCAGGAAGTCTCTCGATCTATGGTATGAGCCGGGCAGCTCTAAAGATTGTGAATGCGCTGTGATATCATCCTCACTGTGACCTCTTGCCAATTACGACGGCGACGTTGCCAACTGATGTGGCGTTACGTCTAACGTACGGGCTGAATATAGTGTTTTCGATATTCAAAGCCCAAAAAGTATTTCTTACGTTCATTCAACAAAGCGTTTGATGATTGCACCTTCGTACCTGATTAATGGCTTGCCGCATTACACTACTGAAAAACTCAACAGCCAATGTATGGTGATATCCCATGACGAGAACCTCATGTACAGAATACTAAACGACGCTCGTTATGCCTTTTGAGGTCCTCACCTCGAAAACAAATGACATATAGCTCGGTGAGCGGTATCTTTGGTTCAATATGTATAAATGGGTCATAAACAAAACAATCGAAATCCAAGTTTCCGTCTTTTCAACCCCCCACAGATCATCAATCTGTTTTGTACTCCTGGGATTCACACCCAGTATCCGGCTAAATTTTACCAGTGGCCCGCCTCTCTCAGACCTAACGGATCTCCCCCCCAAAAAACTTGTGGGAGCTTACCCGTACCTCTGCGGCGTACTCTGCTCACAGAAATCATGTGTAAGAAACAGATCTGTTGGATTTAAATCGCTTTTCCAAAAAGGATAAAGTGGAAGATGCAGAGGAGCTTATAGTGTAGGTGGATGCGTCGATGACAGAAGTGCCAAATGGCGATGTGGTGATGAACTCTGTTACCGAATCACAACTATCTCCAACGCATACCCTCGACTCGCGTTAGCGGAGATAATCTGCCAGCAAGAACCTTTGCCGTGTTCAAGACGCTTTAGCATCTGTTCGAAAGCGCATTAAGACGCCGAATTCGCTTGCTATCGACATTGATACGATTGAAAAGCAGTATGCCACAGAGAGTGACTGGTCCTCCATCTCTTCGAGAATGAAGCAGTCAAGACCGTACCAGTTACCGAAAGTCAAGTACGATTGTGATCGGCATGATCAGGCAGCTAAAAGAATTTCAATTTTGACGTTCTTGGCGTCACTGTCCGGTCCTGCACATGACAACACAGGTTTCGATAAGCTGCACTAGCAACTGGAGATTGGCCAAATCTTCTTGTTTTAAGGTGGAAAAAATTGCGCGTAAAAGTGAAGTCGAAGAAAGGATGTGCGAGCTGGGGTGCAAGAAAGTAAGCATCCTTGGAGTTGTCTTCACTTTTAATAAATTCGACATCCTCAGTGACAGATACTACCTTCATATTGTTAATGCCGACTTGGATACAAATACAGATACGGACTTGCACCGCCCTTTCCTACTCGAATGCAGACCATTGTACAATACGTTCTGCGGATTAATCTGATACGTCTGGGACATGGCGCTTGTACTTCTTGACAAGCTCCTATCCCAGTGTGTTGATTGTGATCGGATCGGTATGTGATCAAGTCGTTTTCACAACAGGCTTCATCTAGCAATTGGAGATACGCACTGTTGTAGTCCAAAAGTCTGTCATTTGGCTTTCACTTGCTGCACAGTCTCTTGGCGGTTAAGAATTCGACTTAGACCGTCCAACTTCAGTTGTTCATCCAAGGCGAAAGCAGCCACCTACAACGGCGTAACCTCAAAACTGGAAGCAACCTGCTTGAAAGATCAGTCATGGATTCGAAGAAAAGGGGAAGCAGCTTCGACAAGAAAATTAGCAAGGACCAAAGCTAAAGGTGCCAATCCAGGCTAGCTCACGTGGCAACTTCTTGGTACTATTAATTGAAGCATCGATCGACTAGCTTGATAATGTTACCCCGCCAGGTCCCAAGAGGCCATCCACCGCAAGACCTACTCAGACTGACAATGGGGATGATGGCCTCACAGGTGCTAGGAGCCCAAAGAATCGCTCGGTTGTGTTGTTTGTGGGGACTGTCCTTATCTGGGCGCTTGGCTCAAATGGTTGCATGCGGGAGGTAGGGGATCGGTACCCCCCAGTTTCCACTTGTTATAACAGCTCAGCTAAAGAAAAAGAGACATCCACAAACTTTCCTGCTTTTAATGTGGTTCGATATATCCCATTAATAGACTTGAGATTAATAGATAGGCACTTTATGACTTGAGGATGGTTCGATATGTGGTCATTGAGATGTGTGCGATGATGCAAAAGGTTGTGTGTTTGTATTAGTAAAAGAGGACGACCATCCCTTATCCGGGCGCTTAATTCAGTTGAAAATTTATCTATATTACACTTTATAGACACCGTGAGCTCTCAATTGAACCTAACAACTAATGTACACGAAACAGTACCAACACTAATATACAATTTGATGATACATGAAGAAAAGACGTAATCGATACATTATCATAAAACCTTTTGATCAAAGATCAAATGATCAAACGATCGGTCGACGGACGTGACTCCTGGCGGGAGGCCTAGGTGAGCCCCAAACACCAAGCAACCGCTTCCTAACTTTGATTGAAGTGGGACTCAATTTCTCACTCAACAGATTAGAGCCTCCACCGAAAATCACTGAGCCAAAGTTCAGTCAAAATTGAAGTTGTAAAGTTCAATACTTCTTGACAAATTTTTGATAAAAACTTTTATACGCACCAAAATCACGTCTGTTTTCTGGTGAATACTCACACAGAACGCTTGCCAAAAATAAATAAGCTGCCTTGCACAGCGACTCACACTACTTCTACAATCCATGCAAGCGATGACCATGACAGGTGAGCGCAATTGGACCACAGCAAGCGTCGATTTGTTGAAGTTGTGCTTCCTCTGTACGGTGGCGATCGAGCACTCTACTTTTTG